GGTAATCTAGAGGGTCGCGCTGCCATGCAGACTTGAAGAAATGGGCTGATAGGAGCCTCAGGGAGTTCCACAATGGAAATTGCCAAGTCCTGCATCTGGGAAGGAACAACCCAAGGAAGGTGAACAAAGGCACTAGTATGCATGCTGGCAGCTTGTCAGCTGAAGGCAGCTCTGCGAGAAGTCCTTTGTAGTCTTGGTGGATACAAGTCGACCAAAAGCCTGCGTTCTGCCCTTGTGGCGAAGAAGGCTCATGGTATACTGGTTGGCATTAGTTATGGTGTTACCAGCAGGTCGAGGTGGGCAATCCTTCCTCTCAGCTTTGGTGAGTCCTCACCTGAAATGCTGAGATCAGTGCAGGGTTCTCTTGTAAAAAAGAGGCATGGAGCTCCTGAACAGTGTCTAACAAGTGTCTACTGCGATGGCGAAATTGGAGCATTTCTTCTATGAGCAATTGAAAACTGTTCAGCCTACAGAAGAGAAAGGACAGATCTTATCCATATGTATGTTTGGTGGGAGAATGCTAAGAGAACAGAACTAGGCTCGTCTAGGTGGTGCCCAGTGCCAGGCTAGAGGCAGTGGTCACAAATAAGAACACTGGATGTTCTGCCAGAACACCAGTAAGTGCTTGTGTGAGGCTGTGGGCTTTCCTTGCAGAACTTCAAAAACTGCCTGGATGTGGTCCTGGGTGCCTACTTTGGGTGCCCTGCTTGAGCAGAGTTTGGGCTTGGTGGACTTGGATTTAAAGATGTACCTAGTTTGTTTTCCTGTTTACCTTTCTACAAAAGCTGGCTGCTGTGACTGTGAAGAAACACAGGAACTACTCATGCTCCCACTGCATATCCAGATAGAAAGTTTCTGCCCCATTTGTTTTTCAGTACAGTTTAATTTGACTATTTAGCTATTGCGTAATTGTACAAAATCATTCTTATTTTGACAGTGGCCTCTAGAGGTTTCTTCAACCTTAACTGTTATTGTGTAAATCTGAGGTTGCTACTTTCTTGTAGCGCTTGTTTGCAAATGAAACAGCAATTTTTTTTTCAACACTACAAATTGAATAAAGTGATGAAGCCATTGCTAATTAAAAATAAATAATAACTTCAATTTTCCAGTCTCCTCCTGGCAGAGGTATGCACATCTTATTTTTTCCCCATCATCTGTGGAGCAAGCTATAACACAGTGTGGGCAGGAGAGCTGGGCTTTGTTTTTAGGATGATATACACAAATCTAGCATTAGTTCAGCCTCAAAAGGCAATTTTTGTTACCACTTTAGGATCTTGTTGCAACTGAAAAGAGAAAACTAAGAGAATGCTAAAGGTTGACAGAGGTCCTATAGAGTATATACACACAACATAAGGATTTTGGGGATGATTTACTAATGTAGAGGCTTTTACTTGTATTATTACCCTGAATATTTGATACATATTATATATGTCTCACCTCACTTACTACATACTGCAAGCAAAGGGCATGGGTTTTACTCACACTGGAGAAAAAAAACAAATGAACGAACTTGGTTTTATACAGTATGGAGCTAGGACAAAAAGGAAAGGTGAGATGAATGACTGTAATGAGGAATTTTGCAAACTTGCCTTGTGATATGCCAGGATAGGATTATAATAATGTGGCAAAATGCTCAGCAAAAATCAGTCAAAGCATCTCCAACACTACTGAAACTAGCAAAAAAGCGAAAATTAGAAAATATGAAGTAAAAGAGATAAAGTAACTAGCTACGTGAATTTACCATTCCCATATGAGTAGTATCTTGTTTGTTTTTGTTTTTTTTTTTTCATAAGCTTTTCGTAAGCTGTAGAGGCAGAGAATGAGCTTGCGTGGTCATTTCAGAAATAGTGTAGTAGACTGGAACAGCTGTATACATTGGTGATTGGTAGGTTTTCAAATACCAGCTCAAGTAATTAAAATGTTCACTTTCTCTATTTTCTTCACAAATTCATGTGGTAAGGATAAATTTGTGAAGTTCTTACTGTCTTTTAAACTGCCAGCTGGACATTTGAGAGGATTATGGTTAAAAGGGGTAATCTTTTAGTGTATTGGTTTGATATTATGAGGTTTGTAGTATTTTGGGAATCTTAAGAGATTCAGATTAATGAGTCCAAAATGTAGCAGTCATTAATTGGCTTTTTGGGTGGGTGGTAATATTGCCCACTGATACATTAAAAAAAAAAAAAAAAAAAGATGAAGGTGTATGAACGAAATGAGACTGAAGAGAAGTTTGAAATGAAGTATGAAAATAGTCTCCTTGAGTAGAGCCCATCCCTATCATTGTTAAAGATGAGTCTGCATTCAAGCACATTCTCATTATTTTAATGAACGTTATGAACAGATAATAAAAGAATGCACTCCAGTAGATAAAAATTAAATGCTGTCACTATTCATGACATTTTAGTTAATTATACTATCCCATAATGACTTATGATTGTTAGCACTGAGGCTCGAGATAAAAGGGAGGGATCACAGCATCTTGCAAAAGCTGTACCAATGCTTATCTCTGTCTTGAATGGGAGGATAATAAATTCCATGAGCACAGATCACCAGATGACCCGGGTTTTTCTTTAGCTGTAAATTAGGGGATTATACAATCCCTGTGTAGTGTTAATTGTTAAACAAAAGCAATTTTAGATTTTAATTCATTCATGAAATTTTATAAAGGCTGGCAGAAGAGCGGTGTCATCTTTGTTACCTGCAATTTTCTATTTTAACTCTTTGTAAACTGCTTTGATAGATTGTGGGTGATCATACTGTGTTGTGCTATGTGATGTCAGCAGACCTTTTACAAGTAAATTAATGGCATGATAGTCAAGCATCACAACTTTTCTAAAAAAAAAAAAAGAAAAAAGAAAAAAGAAAAAGAAATTTGCGTTGTCCTTTTTTTTTTTTTTAAATCAGCATTTCAGGTTAAAATGCAGGAGCTGAATAGCAATTCTTTGTCTATAAACAGAGAGTCTAATCTATATAAATGTTTTTATTTGTACATATTCAGACATTGGTTGTAGTGAGAACATACTACTTTGTGCTTTTCTTTGTGCCTAACAAATAGCACCATGATAATACATTGTCTGCTGGTTGAATGCAACATAGGAGGACAAAAATGACAAAATTCTTTTATTTTTATATAGTATCTCTAGTTCAGTGCATTTTGCATTAGTTCTCTCCACATTTTTCTGTGTAGGAACCTGTAACATATTCCTCTTACATACCTGGAGGCAGGTATGGCAAGTTTTCTTTTGGTAGTAGCATGTTTTGAGGGATGGATGTCTGTGATAGTGACCAAGTACTGAGTAACACTGGTTTCAAAATACAGAAGGTCATGTTTCACTACTAATCATCTTATGTGCAATGTGTGCATCAGTAATTAAACAAATAGGCATAAACACTGAAGAACATAAAATGCATTAGACATAATTCCATGTATTCTGCAAAAAAATTTTCTTCCTTTTAGAATAAGTCCATTGTTAGAATGTTTGTGCTTCTTGCTAAATGGCTCAGAATTACTCGAAAAACAAAAGTACACATTTCAGACCTTTATTTCAAATACTCAATCCTTTTCTGTCCTATTACTTACAGTCTATTCTCAAGCTGCCTTAAAGCACTAGGCGTTGCTCCAGGGTGTGTGTTGGGCATGCAATGTATCTTGATGTGTGCTGAATTCATGCTGAATGTAATTTTAGTGAAACTCAGGGTAAAATGTCATCGTTAGCTGTTCTGCATTGGCATCCAATCAAGGCAATATGAATGAAATTTTTACTTGAATTTTAGTCCTTGTTAAGTGAAGTGTGTGCAAATGATAAATTGCCTGTGGTCAGCAAGGAAAATGCACATGATTGTGAAGGTTGGATGATACACCGTCAGAAACAAGTTTTACACTGATAAATGTCACTGTTCAATATTCTTAGCTATCACAACCTTGTATGAATTTAAAGTAGGTTTTTCCTGGCTTTTAATTCTTGAGAACTCGTGACAGTCATCCTTGTTACAGTTGATGTTACTGGCTGTGTATATGCACACGTAAACCCTGCATAGTGGTGTATGTTATGCATGTAAATTACTATGTGATCTGTTTAAAAGATGAATCACCACATTTCTTTTTGTTGACATACAACATACAATAGTACCATAAATGTATAATATAGGAAACTGGTGTGGTTTATTCGCTACAATGAGTATTTGCTTCCAACTTTTACTTGATACATAAAGGTACATGTTGGCTGTACAGGAAATTTCAACCTTTGAAACACCTAGCAGTGAGGGGTGACTGCTGTGGTGAAAAATTACTGGTGACATTTACACCTGAGATTTTGGAGTATATTAACTTCTAACAAGTATAGCTGCTTGCACGGAGGTCAGGTACTTCTGGTGTTCATTTATTAGTGCTAATTGAGCCAGATGCTCAGTTGAAATATGTGATTGTTCTTCTAGTTGTAAATATCAACTGAGTCATATTAACTAGCACTATAATATGTAAATAATTGGTATTAAGGGGAAATATGAATAAAAGTATCAGATATCACTCCTAAACTACTAGGATTTGGCCATTTTGGCTCAAAGTATGAGATGTAAGACAAAAAACTACTCATAGGAGTTTCTTTGAAGTCTTAATTTCTATTCTCATTTTTAATCTGATGAAGAAAGAAGTGCATCCTGTGCTAATTTTGAATTAGAAATACATGTGTTTTTAAGGACTCAAATGAATCAAAGAGATATTGCAAATTGATGTTATATGTTGCGCTAGGTGAAACTTAGAAAATGAGAGTGGATGTACCACTCTATGGTAAATAGAAGTGCCACTTTATGAAACAGAAACAGTAATGTTTTCTTCACAGATGACTGCAGCAAAATCTGGAAAATCATTTCTATTTTGGGCTATCACAGTATGACTTATTACCTGTATGTATTTGTTTATACATATATTTATACTTTTTTTCCTTTAAGCATTTAAAATACAACTTGAGATCACTTTAACACTGAGATTTTTATCTTTGCAGTTTGTCGAGAAGACTCTTACCAGTCAATAGTCTCATGTGCTGCTGTAGTACTTACCCCAACAGTGGATACAAGGAAGAAAGAACAGATGCTAAAAACCGAAGCATCTAAACAGTGAGTCATTCAAATAATATGATCATTTATGAATGCAGTGTGAACAAAGGCTATGTTCATTCTTGTGGATGTGTGTATACGCCTCATTTCTATTTCACCAGGGGTTGCACTTAGGTGTTTCCATAACCAGAAATTGACCCGTGACTAGGCTGCTTCTTTTTCTCACTAGTCTACCTTTTTATTCAAAGTTTTGATAATGATGTTTACAAAAAGAGTCCCCATTTATCCTCTGAGAAATTTACTTTTTAATAGGCTTAGCAAAGTGATTCCCTTTGTTTAAATAATCCTCTCATTCATCTCAGTTTTTAGTTACTTTTTAGAAAGATCTTTGTTCCTAAATGGTCTTCTCATTTGAGATATTTCAATATTTTTCAGTGCCTATTTTTACTACTGTGTTATAAGGTATGATGACATCCTCAAAAATATGGTAGTGGTCTTCCACTGAAATTTGAAGAAATTGAGTATAATTTGATATTTTATGTTAGACAAGATTCATACCCAAAACATATCAGACAGGTTGGTTTTTCCTTAACAATTTTTGACATGGTCCCATACAACATTCTTGTTTCTAAACTGGAGAGATTTGGCATGGTTGGAACCGGAGGGTTGTGGTCAATGATTCTACGTCTAGGTGGAGACCAGTCATGAGTGATGTCTACCAGGGGTCTGTTTAGGGTCTGGTACTCTTCAATTTCTTTATCAATGACCTGGATAGTGGAATTAAGTTCACCCTTGGCAACTGTGTGGCGCAGTTGATACAACAGAAGGAAGGGATGCCATCCAGAGGGACCTGAACAGGCTTGATAAGCAGGCACACGAAAACCTAATGAGGTTTAACAAGGCCAAGTGCAAGGTGTTGCGCTTGGGTCAGGGCAATCTCAGGTACGCATACAAACTGGGAGAAGATCTCCTTGAGAGCTGCCCTGTGGAGAAGATCCTGGAGATCCCAATGAATGCAAAGCTGGACATGGAAAAAAACAAAACAATAAAAACACACCATCAAAAATTCAGTGAATTAGATATTAGATCTGAAACCTTTGGGTCAGATTGAAATATGTGCACTGTCACATCTGTTACTAGTTACACAGTGTCATTAATGGGAGGTGTAAAGTCTCTTTTCCTCATGTATATCTAGTCTTGGGTTCATGGCCTAGGTCAGTATCTTATTGTGGCCTCTCCTTCAATCTGATGATAGAAACATTTCTTCCTAGTCTACCTGTATTTAAAAATTTAATGTAGAACACTGTCTGTCACCTATATGTGAAGTAATGTCTGAAATACTCTTAGCATCTATTTGATTGAATGTTCTTGTTATGTGGCTTTCTGATTATTAAGAGATTGGGAAGGCAATAGGCTGCAGAGTAACTATGCTGAAATACAGACTTCTGTGGTTAATTCAAACAATATAGTACGTTTCTGCCTCATTTCCATTAAAAAGTAAGCCTGCACTGTTATTATATTGCCTTTTTTCTCCACTATCAGCATTTTCAGCATTTCATAATCCCTTATGAATGTGAAGAAAGGTCCTTTATGTGTTTACCAAGTACTTGAGACTTACGATAACACCTCCTTTTTCCTTTTGCCTTGTGATATTAGCAAGTATGTTAATATATTTTGGTTTTTTTTACTTATTTTATTCTTTACAACCTGACTAGTCATATCCTTTAAATTATTAGACTTATATTATATGCTCAGATATCTAAGAAACGTGCTGTGGCCTCTGCTACAATTTGCACTTCTAAAAATTTAACTTTATGAAATGGCATAACAGTACTGTCATGTTTAAACCAACATTTCTTACAAATATATTAGAAATTAAACATCTTTCTGGAAAAGTTTTACATGTTCTAATAGGAGTTCGGTAAACTTTCTCTAAACATTCAGTGTAACTGTAGGACTGTAGGGTGAAGAAAGTATTTTGCTTCATTCAAGGAGATATGAAGTGCTGTGAAGCAGCAGTGTCCTGTTTATTTCTGTCTTGTCACCTTATGCTTTTTACATGTAGATCTTTGTCTCCGTACCTGCTTACAATTGAAGATTTAGAGATTGTCTAAATATCCAAGTGCCATCTGTTTCTCTCCACTGTAGACATTAACCAAGAGGAAGCCCCTGACACACATCGAATTTCCTTAACAGTAGTGCAGTATCCATGTTATCTGACCTGCACAGATGAATTGCAATTATTTGTGTTTGTAATTGCCTTACTGAAAATGGCCTAATAACCTTTATGCTTAGATTTTTATACTTTCCTTTGCATATGTACCTCAGTGGTTATGACTTGCTTGTCCCAAAATTGAATATCACACAGTATTGAGCAGTGGTCAGCTCTCTAGGAATGAACAAATATTGCTGAGTTTTAGGACTTGAACAGAGTATGTCAGAGTTTGTCAAAATGCTTTCTGAAACTATATAAGGAAGCAACTTATAATCCAAGACACAAAAAGTATAGATTAATGAAAAACAGATAATAAACAGTTGCAAATAATTGAAAACAATTATACTGTGTAGACCTCAGTGGAACTATATACAAAACTTTCGGGACACAAGAAACTGATGCCTGGGTGAGGAAGAAATAGCTTTAGTGTGAATTGTATAGTATTTGACTAATGATGTTTGGACTTAAACAGAAGCTGTTTAGTGACTTTAAATAATGCACTGTATTTGATTAATGTAATTTTACTCTAACCAGCAAAATACTATGCCAGAAATGGTAGCAGCAACACGTAATAATTCTTTGAAGTGTCAGTGATTAGATAATGTCAGGATTGGAGAAATAAGACTGTTTTTTTTTTTTTTTTTTTTTTCCCCTTGTGTTTTTCTTGAACATTTCTCCAGGAGGCGATTTCTTAATGATAACTAGGGAATTGTGCAAGGAGTTACAGTGACTGGTTAGGTGCTTACTCATGGGAATCAGGGTAAGGGAGAGAACTATACCTTTAAGCAATGAACTGCACTGTTTAGTGCAGGTGATAGTTTTGGCATCTCAGAAGATGCACAATGGCTGCTCCAAAAGTAATGCATCTGTCTTATTTTTTTTAGCCCATGACACCAGAGACCATCAGTTAGTGTTATGGCAGTAGAGGCTGAACCTTCCATCCAATGTTTTGTTGCCACATAACAGATGGCAGCAGAGGGGGCAATCTGACAAATGGCATCTGACATGGGAGTGTGTATGGAGCAAAGATGTATAACTGAATTCCTCCATGCAGAAAACACTGCACCCAATTAACATTGATATTTCCTGAATGTTTCTGGAGCCCTAGCAGTGGATGTGAGCACAGTGAGGTGGGGACTGGTGCATTTTAGCAGTAACCACAGCAGCAGTGTGTCTCTTCCACTGGTGAGATTTTTACAAGTAAAGCATGTAGGCTCTTGTTAATCACCAGAAAAAATGCATAGCTAATGGTGGTGACTATGTTGCATCAAGAGAAGTGTGACCAGGAGGTCGAGGGAGATGATTCTGCTTCTCTACTCTGCTCTCATGAGACCACATCTTGAGGACTGTGTCCAGTTATGGGGCCACCAGCACAAGAAGGACATTGTAGTGGCTGTGGAGGATGGCCACAAAAATGATGAGAGGGCTGGAGCACCTCCTATGAAGACAAGCAGGGAGAGCTGGGGCTCTTGAGCCTGGAGAAGAGGAGGCTCCGGGAAGAACTTATAGACGTCTTCTACTACCTGAAGGGGGCGTACAGGAAAGCTGAGGAGGAACTTTTTATAAGGGCATGTAGCAACAGGACAAAGGGAAATGGTTTTAAACTGGATTTAGATTTAAAAACTTGATTTAGACTAGATATTAGGAAGAAATTCTTTACTGTGAGGATGGTGAGACACTGGAACAAGCTGCCCAATGAAGTTATGAATTCCCCCTCTTTGAAAGCGTTGAAGGCCAGGCTGGATGGGGCTTTGAGCAACTTGGTCTAGAGGGAGGTGTGTACCTACCTATAGCAGAGTGGTTAGAAGTAGATGATCTTAAAGGTCCCTTCCAGCTCAAACAAAATTCCCTAATTGTCTGATCTTCAATTTGTGAAAATGTAATTGTTACATTTGAAGACACTGGTGATGCTTTTTGATTTTTGCAGCCTTGCCTAATCTTTTTCAAGGGAAATTGAGAAAAAAAAAAAAAAATTCTACTATTTCTTTCACTTGAAAGTTTTATTTTCCTTTTTCTCTCCTTCTGTCTTTAACTTCTGTATATATACTATTTAGATAAATTTCTGGGATAATTTTTTCCCCTTGAAGTGACTGTTCTTTTCTCTGCCCCCTGAGCATGACATGAAGAGTGATCCTCTAATGTCAGGTTGTGGTACCCCACTGCACAGTTTGTATCTGGTTTGACAGTCTTTTCAAGCAGGCTTGTTTTGGTAATATGTAAAATGAATGCTTTTCAGACTCATTTGGACAATCTAATAAAAGATGATTGAACCATTTCAGTTTCCAAGACAATTGTCATGATCCGCTCTGAAAGCGTGCGTCATTCCTTACGTAACACTAATGGTATATGGATGCCTGTTGTTGCTCTGGAAATACATTGATTTGAAAGCTGTGGTTCCAACTCAGATGAGAAGCAGTAAAAAGACACATCAGCTGAATTGCAGTATCCTTAGCATAGCATTTTAGTGATACATAAAAGGTAGAGGGGATAGAACTTATATCAATTTCTTCAAAGCAAGTACTTCAAAATTGGGTAAAGAGTTTGTAGTGCAATATACTTATATTGTCAGTTGTCACATGTGTCATCAAAATCACTTCCTGAACTGATAGGAATCAAATATATTTATGTAAGGGCCAAGTACATTCCAAAAATTGCTTTGTGTGTGGGTACTGGAGCTCTTTCTTGGGGAACCAGGTGGGCTGTCTCCTGTGGGCTCAGGCCTGAAGGGTGTGCTGTGCAGATGACAATCTCTTTGTTGTTCTGTGCTCTCACCTATTCTCTTCATGAGCCACTTCCTCTGCTTTTTCTCACCATGCACAGTAATGTGGTGGAGCTCAGTCATCTC